AGATCTGTGGTAACACAGTGGGGGGAGGATAAGGTCAGGGTGGATAGTGGGTTCATCTGGGGGGGTTGAGGGGTCTTGGCCACACTGGGGCCTTCGGAAGTACCCAACCCACAAGTTGACTCACCTGTGGCTACTGCCCAGGTTCGGTATGTCTTGGATATATTTACTGCGTCCTGAATGGATGGTCAGGACAAAGGGATGTTCCTGGGTATTTCCCTGAGATTGTGCATAGATGGGTGGCAGAAGAGTAGGGGAGTGAATCCTCTTTAGTGGAAAGAACCCTGTGTGCCCCTATGTGGTTGCAAGCTATGCTGGCAATGGTACATGCCTTTGGCAGGGTCTCCCATGCCAGACAGGTCAAAACCACAGGGTCAGACACAATATATCCATGGGCAGGATGAGCCCACTAGCCTTCTGGCAGTCATCCTAGGAGAAGGACAACTCTAATCCCAAACTGGGGCAGATGGAGCTCGCTTAGCCCTGTAAGGCCATCCATCTAAGAGAAGGTCACTCCAATCAAACGTACATCCTGAGGACCTTGCTGCCACCATCCAAGCTCACTCAGCCCTGGCAGATGAACCTCAGGATTAAAGGGTGGGCCCAGTTCTGTGCATGCTGCGTCTCACCTAAAAAAATCCACTGCGCAGGCTCAGAGGTTTTACCCACACTCACAAAGCCCTGTAGCAATGGGCAAGGGTCGAAATGGCAGGTGAAAGGTGCACTGGAAGCCGCAGACCCAACCCTGCATGCAGGCAGTTCAGGATATTGGTCATTTGAGACTGACTGGAGATGACAGTCTCTTGGGGCAGCACCCTGAACGACCAGGCAGCCTTTTCAAGGACAGCACTGCTTGCTCCACTCGGAGAGGGGCCTAGAAAAGGTGGCCTAAACAATGCTCATCTCCACATTTCACCCAGTTGGTTAACTGTGGCCAACGGACATCTTCTACTAAAGCAGTCACACAAAGATCAAGAGACAAAGGCTTACACCTGCCTCCAAAGGTGTAACCAAACTGGCTCTCGCATGCTGGAACATCAGAACCATGCTTGATTCTGCAAATAGTGGACGCCCTGAGCATCGCTCTGCCCTAATTGCCCGTGAACTATCACGTCTCAACATTGACATAGCTGTTCTCAGTGAAGTCCGTCTCCATGAGGAAGGCAACCTTAGAGAACAAGGTGCCGGTTACACACTCTTTTGGTCAGGTAAACCAGAACCGAAAGGCATCTTTCAGGAGTTGGCTTCATGATCAAAAATTCTATTGTTCCTAAACTCAAAAATCTGCCAACGGGTCATTCTGACCGCATTATCTCCCTACGCCTTCCACTCCACAACAAGCAACATGTTATCCTCTTTAGTATATATGCCCCAACTCTCCAAGCTGACCCTGCCAAAAAAGATAAATTTTACACTGACCTGTGCCGCCTTACCCAGAAGGTTCCTGCAGGAATAAGATCATTATCCTTGGTGATTTCAACACCAGAGTAGGAAAGAACTTTGAAGCCTGGAAAGGAGTATTAGGCAAGCATGGATGTTGGAAGCTGCAATGATAATGGTCGACTTCTGGTAAAATTCTGTGCGGAGCAACAGCTCACCATCACTAATACTATCTTTCAGCAGAAAAATAGTCTAAAGACAACCTGGATGCATCCTAGATCTAAGCACTGGCATCTCATTGATTATATCTTGGTGTGACGGAGAGATGTTCATGATGTCCATCACACCCATGTGATGCCCAGTGCAGAATACCAAACAGACCATAGACTTGTGTGCTGCAAACTTAAGTTCAATCTTAAGTTCAAACCTAAAAGGGGCAGTATCCCAAGGAGGAGACTCCAAGTTAACAATCTCCAATCAGCCACAATGAGAGACAGATTCCAGGCAAATCTTCAAACTAGGCTTGAAAATCATTCTATAGATTCTATAGATCCCTCTTCTGAAACACTTTGGCACCATATTAAAAACAACATCCTGCAGTCCTCTGAAGAATCTTTAGGGTTCTCCTTCAAGGAGAACAAGGACTGGTTTGATGAAAACAATCAAGAGGTTCAGGAGTTGTTGAGGGAGAAGGGAACTGCTCATCAAGCACACCTTGCACTGCCATCCTGTCACACAAGAAAAGCAGCGTTTCGTCTTGCATGCAGCTCCAACAGAAACTTCATGACATCCAGAACAAGTGGTGGATCGATCTAGCTGAAAAAACTCAATTATGTGCAGATACAGGTGATCACAGAGGATTCTATGAGGCCCTGAAAACAGCATATGGGCCTACATACCAAGTCCAAAGCCCTCTACTCAGCGCAGAGGGTCAAACGCTTCTGACAGACAAAACCTCCATTCTGAATCGATGGTCTGAACACTTTCAGGCTCTCTTCAGTACTAGCCGTGTAGTTCAAGACTCATCAATTCAGTGCATTACACAGCAGTTGGTGAAGAATGAATTGGATATTGCCCCCACTTTAGGAGAAACCATCAAGGCCATACAGTAGGTGAAAATCGGCAAGGCAGCTGGGGTTGATGGAATTCCACCTGAAGTCTGGAAACATGGGGGCCAAGCACTCCATGCTAAATTTCACGAGTTTGTGGTGCACTGTTGGGAACTAGGCAAACTCCCATCAGACCTTCGTGATGCAACCATCATCACTTTGTATAAGAAGAAAGGAAATAAATCTGATTGCTCAAATTACCGTGGTATTGCTCTGCTCTCCATTGCTGACAAAATCCTGGCAAGAATACTCTTGAACAGACTAATACCTGCTATAGCTGAAGGAATTCTACCTGAAAGCCAGTGTGATTTCAAAGCCAACAGGAGTACCACAGACATGGTATTTGTTCTCAGACAACTGCAAGAGAAGTGCAGGGAACAGAACAAAGGTCTCTATGTAACCTTTGTTGATCTCACCAAGGCTTTCAATACTGTGAGCAGAAAAGGTCTGTGGCAGATTTTGGAAAGTTTAGGATGTCCCCCCAAGTTCCTTAAAATGATCATTTCACTTCATGAGGAGCAGCACGGCCAAGTCAGATATAGTGATGCACTTTCTGAGCTTTTTCTAATTACCAGTGGTGTGAAACAAGGCTGCGTTCTTGCTTCAACCCTATTCACAGTCTTTTTCAGCATGATACTCCAAAGGGCCATGGCAGACCTCGATGATCAGGACGGTATCTACATTCGATATCGTACTGATGGAAGCCTTTTCAACCTAAGGTGACTGAAGGCCCACACTAAGACCTTAAATCACCTTGTTCGGGAGCTGCTTTATGCTGATAATGCTGCCTTTGTTGCCCACACAGGAGCAGCTCTGCAGCGTTTAACATCCTGCTTTGCAGACGCTGCTGAGCTCTTTGGGCTGGAGATCAGTTTAAAGAAGACAGAAGTTCTCTATCAACCAGCACCTCAGGAAGTCCCCCATCATCCCCACATCACCACTGGCCAATCAGAACTCAAATCAGTCCAGCAGTTTAATTACCTCGGTAGCCTCATCTCCTCGGATGGTAAGATTGACGGAGAGATAGACAACAGGTTAGCAAAGGCATCGAAAGCTTTCAGAAAACTCCATGAGAGAATTTGGCAGAATAAACACCTGAAGAAAAGTACCAAGATCAGTGTTTACAAAACCATTGTGCTGTCTACTCTTTTATATGGATCCGAATCATGGGTCATTTACCGCCACCACCTGCGTCTCTTAAAAGGCTTCCATCAACGCTGTCTCTGCACAATCCTAAACATCCACTGGTCAGATTATGTGACCAATACATCTGTTCTAGAACAAGCAGCAGTCACAAGTATTGAGGCCATGTTGATGAGAACACAGCTGCATTGGGCAGGGCATGTCTCCAGGATGAAGGACCACCGCCTCCCTACGATCTTGCTTTATGGTGAATTTGCCACCGGCTGCCGCAAGAGAGGAGCCCTGAAGAAATGATACAAGGACTCCCTGAAACAACATCTCACCCTCGTCCATATTGATCATCATCATTGGTCTACTCTGGCCTCCAATTGGGAGGTCTGGAGACACACCATCTATAACGCTGCTGATGCTTTTGAGAACGCACGCAGGATCACTCTTGAGGAGAAAAGACAACGCAGAAAGAATGGTGCCTTGCAGAATATACCACCTAAGGAGTCTTTCTGCTGTGCCTTTTGCAACCGGACGTGCCTGTCTCGTACTGGCCTTATTAGCCACCAGCGTGCTTGTAACAAAGGTGAATGGAGCCTTTCCCAAATCTTCATTCGCGAAGCCTAGCCATGAACAGTAGTCCTTGAATTACTATGCACAATATACCCAGGTGTGTGCAGGGGAAGTGATACAACTGTAACTTCATGGCCGACACAGTTTGTAAGTGAGGGGGAGGGATGGAAGTGCTGGGGCAGCTGCTCAGGCTACATGGAGAGGAGAGTACTGATGAGTCATGTCTAGGCAAGGATGAAACATGTGCATCTCCCTCCTCAAACCTGGATTTATTTTTATTGTTTTGGGCTTCACAATAATGGTATCTCCTCATTTGGCACTGCTTGTACCTCTGAGTAATGCCCATCACAGACATATGATCATAAAGACCAAAATTATCTTATGACTGACTCTAGCTAGACCTGGATCTTCTCATCTCCCCAGATGGCCACCACTGGCTCTAAGTCCACTTAGTGCCTGCTGACAGCTCCCTCATCTCCTCTGGGATGCATAATGGACAGCAGCAGTGGAGCAACATAAAGATTTCCTTTTGCAGAAAATAAACTGGGACCGGAGTATGTAACTGGGTGTCTCTGCCCCACAGTGAGGTGACCCCATCCATGAGGTGACTGCTGCCAAAAACGCCCCTTCTCAAGGTTAGCATACTGATTGCATCAGCTTCTTGTGAGCAGCTATGGGAAGCCTTGAAGGGGGATGCCACCTTTTCCCTGGAGGAACCAAGGTGGAATCAGTAGTGCAGCCAGATGAGGTAGCTGTTTGCTTCTTCTGAGAGATGAGCTGTGCAAGTCATCTATAGGTCCCTCCGGATACGATGGTGCTGGTGGCAAATCCAGCACTGGCTGCCTGAGCTGCAGCTGATGGCTGCTGCTGGCCTTCCTTGGGACAGGTTGTCTGGGCAAAATCTGCTTCTTCACTTACACTGAGAGTGGCAGGGTGGCAGATCAGCAGGTCGCAGTTCCCCCTTGCATCAGGTGCCTGCTCATATCTCAGCTGCCTTTCCCATGCAGATCTCCTCTAAAAGGAAGTAAAGGAAATGTCTGATGTCTGATTCTGATTTTAAAATTCTAATGGCTAAGAACGTCAGATGAACCCATGGAAGAATATGGAAAGATAGTTCACACTGCGCCTTCATGGTGCGCCTTCATGGTGCTCCTTTTCTTATCATGATGATTTGTCTACTTCAGACAACAAGATAATAGAGCTGGTCCAAAAGTCAAAATTCAGGCTTCTGGAAATGAGAAGTAGAAATTCCAAAATTTACCACAGAGAGGAAAAGCAGAGATCTTAGAAAATAACTGGTGATTTTACTTGGGAAAATTCTGGATTAAATGGAGTGAGAGCACCCATCTTTTAAGTTATCCTCTTGACCACAGTTTTTGCCTTCCTTCAGTTCCTATAAAGTCATAAAGTGCTTGTGGTCCTGGCTGGACAGTTTACATGGACCTCTTAATCTGTGGCAAGTGGTAAGAGATGTCCTCAGGCACTGCAGGCTGTGAAAACCAACCATGCACTTTGGAAAATGGTTCATTAGTGGTTTTGGTCATTAGATTTGGTGAGAATTCAGGGGGGCTTGGAGGCTGGGAGCTCCATGCTCTAGCCCTTTAGATGGATATTGGGAAGCATTCAGTAGTTGCCATCGGTTTTAATTAAGTGGCAAGAAAACTTTTTGGTCTTTTGATGGTTTATGGAGCAGAAAATTTATCAGGAAATTTCTGAACTAGATACAGCATATAGTCTTCGTTCAGAAATTATCCCAAACAGTGCACTGATACTCCTGAAGAATAACGTGCATGAATGTGATGAGTACTAGACATAAAGTGAGCAACAGATATATGGCATGTTACTTTTTCTAGTGAAGATTTAGGCCTGTTCCTCATATGCAAATTCCAAGCAGGATTAGAATTAGAATTAATTACACTTATTTTAAACGGTGCTAATGCATCTTGGGGACTGTTAATGTCTGAGAATTAAAACTCACCGCTTATCTGAGCTTCATTTGCTTCATTTATGCTTCTTCACTTCAGTTGAAGTGCTGAAAAATAACTCAGGTAGTGAGATGTAGCCTTTGTGTTTGGTAGTAATGTAGGGACTTCAGCTTCTGCGAGATGCCATGTAAAAAATCCATGCCAAAGTAGTAACAAAGGATGGGGATAAGGCTGAGATTCTTAATGCTTTCTTTGCCTCAGTCTTTAATAGTCTGAGCAGTTATCCCCAGGGTACCCAGCCCCTGAGCTGGAAGACAGGGATGGGAGCAGAATGAAGCCACCATAATCCAGGAGGAAATGAAAAGTGACCTACTTCCCCAGTTACACACTCCAAAGTCTATGGGGCTGGAATAGATCCATCTGAGGGCATTGAGCAAGCTGGTGAAAGGGCTCACTGAGGCACACTCCATCATTTATCAGCAGTCCTGGCTAAACAGGGAGGTCCCTATTGAATTGAGGTTAGCCAGTGTTAGCTCTAGCTTTTAGTTAGGGCTACCAGTATTTTTTTGTTTACTCCATTTCATACCAGTTTAGTCAGAAGAATTAAGTAGATGAAGGGACAATACTTATTACAGATTAAAATACCCACACAGAACCGAAGAGTGAGTCTGATATCATTGTTTTACTGGATGGGAAAGAAGCCTTAAGAATAATGGAGGCAAGAAGAACAGTCAGACATCTAATGCATTCATTCACACTTGCAGATATTTGTTGTTAAATCCTATAAGGGACATCAAGTGTCATTTCACTGGAGGCAGAGTTTGCTGAGTATATTCCAGTTCTGAGAATCAAATTTTAGTTTGTTTTTTTTTGGTGACTAAAATGTGAATTATTTTATACCTGAGGTTATAATTTTTAATGAATAAGAACAACAAGAATTATATACTGTTGCTGATGTTGCAAGAATAGTTATTTTTTAAAATGCACAGTACTGTATATCCATTTACACACACAAATATTTAATGTGCCAAAAAATAATGGTAACCACGAAACTATAATCAAATACATAGTTATGTAGAAAGAAACAAAATAGCAACCTTTAACCCCCTCCAAACAATGCATCTTATAATACCTGTTGTGAGTACTCAATTACTATTACAAAGGGATGTTTCTGTCTTGGCAAGTGTTTTTGCTTGCTCACCTCTAGTCACCACTGCTAAATACACATCTTGGATAGCCTGAAGATCAAAGATCTCTTAATACAAAGGTTAACACCTGAAATTCAGTTTTGGCAAGGTATTGTGACATACTGTTAGGTCCAATCCCTCTTCTCTCTCTCTTATTCCAGGAGACCACTCATCTATGCAAGCCATTGTAGAGTACTGCAACCAGAGAAGTTTCTGAAGTTTACCATAGATAATCTGTTACTCATGTCCTGTTTTGTTCTGTCTCACATTCCCTCAGTTTTTCATGCCTTGTACTCAGTGTACTCTACTAGTATTTCTACTTATATTTGGTTGAGAAGAACTGTTTGTCTGCTTTTGCAGTGTAACTTTCAGTAATGGAGTGCACACATAAGAACCTAGGACCTATTTAAATTGTAGTGAAAAAAACAGTATTATGTAAGAATTGAATCTTTAACAATTTCTATGACAAGTTTTCTGTTTTTTGAGGATAAGTAGAAATTGTCTTTTGTGCAGGGCAAAAGCAAACTTAAACTTTGTAGGTGGAACCTTCGAATTTTTTTTGGAAATAACAGGTTTCTTGTACATATCTTCCAAGTTCATTATCTTTCCTACAAAAGACCGGAAGAGACCTATCCACGTTAGTTGAGAAGGCACGATTGTTTATGTCTCAAACCTTTTTGCATTGAGAACTATGAATAATGTGGCAGCATTACCTACAGCTGAGTCTGTCATTTCTTTTCCCTTTCTCCTTCCCACTAACAGGCATAGGAACCAGTGCTGTTTTTACTGCCTTCCGAATCTAGATTTGTCTTCTGATGTCTGATGCAACATCTTACAGGTGAAAAAAAGTCATTGTTCTCGAGTTTGACAGCTAGTGGATATAGGAAAATGGAGAATCTACTAGAGAAAACTAAAATCCTTCAGCAGAGAGCTTTTAACAGGCCTTTACTGCTTATTTGGCATTGAGTAATCTTGTTATTTTTCCACTCACTTGGATTTTATCACTCCATATAGTAGACTTTGCAGGAATATTACTGTTTACTTTGACTGCATGCCAGATATCTACTGAAAAATAAGGGAAAACACTACTACTGAATCAAAGCTGCTAAGAAAGATGGTTTATGTATTTACACAGAGAGGGAAAATGATATAAACACTATACATACAGAGATGGACTAAAAATACTTTCCCACAACCGACGCTTTTCTCCCCACGAGGGAACTGCCCAAACCACTCTGCTCAGTACCCGGAAGAGAAGAGAGAGCTGACGTAACATGGTATGGAATATATTATTGGCAGAAGACACATCAAATGACCTATCCTATTTCCATTTTCCTCCTCGGGGAGAATAACAAACCCATTACAATCTCCACCCCTTATTCCATACCATTTTACATCACACTCATATCCCATATTCACCTATATCCTGCGCTTATGTGAGTCTTGTCTTCTACGGTTGTCCCGTTGTTGATCACCAGCATCAGCTTAGTTCGGGTCTTCCTCATCTAGTGACTCTTCCTGCAACATACAACTCAGAATACAAATTAGCTTTTCCCAAGCTTAAAACTCCTTGAGGCACACACTGGGTTTTCCCATCTTCTCTCATTATCCACCAAGTATGTCTGGGTCCTTGAGCAAAGACAATCCCATGAATGGGTTTGCCTTTGCTCAAGGGAGGGTTAACCCAAACTGCTTTACCTAACATACCCCTCAAGTGAATCACTGGGACTTTGGCACCATCCACATCTGTGAAGGGGCTCTGTTTGGGCAGGGCCAGCTTGACTGATGGAACCTCTAGTGTTGACTAACCATGTAGCCTTTGCTAGGTGCTGATCCCAATTTTTGAAAGTCCCCCCACCCAGTGCCTTCAAAGTAGTTTTCAACAATCCGTTGCATCACTCAACTTTTCCAGCGGCTGGTGCATGACATGGAATATGATATACCCATTCAGTGCAATGTTCCCTTGCCCAAGTACTAACTAAACTGTTTTTGAGATGAGTCCCATTGTCTGATTCAATTCGCTCTGGGGTGCTGTGTCACCATCGTACTTGCTTTTCAAGACCCAAAATGGTATTTTGGGCAGTTGCGTGAGGCACTGGATAAGTCTCTAACCATCCAGTGGTTGCTTCCACCATGGTGAGCACGTAGCGCTTACCTTGGCGGGTCTGTGGCAGTGTGATGTAGTCAACCTGCCAAGCTTCCCCATATCTATACCTATCCCAACGTCCACCATACCATAGGGGCTTCATTCTCTTTGCTTGTTTAATGGCAGTGCATGTCTCACAATCATGGATAACCTGGGAAATAGTATCCATAGTTAAATCCACCCTTCAGTCTCATGCCCATCTCTAAGTGGCATCTCTGCCCTGATGGCCTGAAGCATCATGTGCCCATCAAGCTAAGAACAACTCTCCCTTGTGCTGCCAATCTAGATCTACTTGAGACACCTTGACTTGTGCAGCTCAGTCTGCTTGTTTGTTGTTGTGATGTTCTTCATTAGCTCGATTTTTGGGTACATGGGCATCTACATGGTGGACTCTCACAGTCAACTTCTCAACCCGAGCGGCAATGTCTTGTCATAAATCAGCACCCCAGATAGATTTTCCTCCACATTTCCAGTTAGTCTTCTTCCACCGATCCAGCCAGCCCCACAGAGCATTGGCTATCATCCATGAGTCTGTGTAGAGGTAAAGCCTTGGTCGTCCTTCTCGTTCAGCAATGTCCAGGGCCAACTGAACGGCTTTGAGCTCTGTGAACTGACTCGATTCACCTTCTCCTTCAAGTAGCTTCTACCACTTGTCGAGTGGGACTCCAGACAGCTGCTTTCCACTTCCAGTTCTTCCCTACAATATGTCAAGAACCATCAGTGAAGAGCGCATAACGTGTTTCTTCTTCAGGTAACTGATTGTATGGTGGAGCTTCTTCAGCCCAATTCACTTGTTCCTCTTCCTCCTCATCAGCCAGACTGAAGTTTCCACCTTCAGGCCAATTTGTTATGATTTCTAGGATTCCAGGGCGATTTGAGTTTCCAATTCAGGCACATTGTGTAATCAAGGCAATCCACTTACTCCCATCAGTGGCATGATGGGTAGGGGGCACCTTTCCTTTGAACATCCAGCTCAGCATTGGTAGTTGGGGTGCCAGGAAGAGCCGTGTTTCTGTGCCAATCACCTCTGAGGCTGCTTGTATTCCTTCATAAGCCGCTAGGATTTCCTTCTCCATGGGGGTGTAGTTGGCTTCAGATCCTCTGTAGCTTCAGCTCCACAAACCAAGTGCTCAGCCTTGGGTCTCACCAGGTACTTTTTACCAGAGGCTCCAGGAGGGACCATTATCCCTGGCTGCAGAATAAAGTACATTTTTCATATTTGGTTCTGTCCTGACTGGTCCAAGGGCCACGGTGTGTGCAATCTCCTGCTTAATCTGTTTAAAGGCTTGCTGTTGTTCAGGACCCCATTGGAAATCATTCTTCTTACAGGTCATTAAGTAAAGAGGGCACACAATTTGACTGTATTCAGGAATGTGCATCCTCCAAAAACCTATGACCCCAGGAAAGCTTGTGTTTCTTTCTTGTTAGTTGGTGGAGCCATCGCTATGATCTTGTTGATGACTTCCATTGGAATCTGACGACGTCCATCTTACCATTTCACCCCTAAGAACTGGATCTCTCTGGCAGGTCCCTTGACCTTACTCTTTTTGATGGCGAAACCGGCTTTGAGGAGAATCTGGATAATTTCCTTTCCTTTCTCAAAAACTTCCTCTGCTGTGTCCCTCCATACAATAATGTCATCAATATATTGTATGCGTTCTGGAGCCTTACCCTTCTCTAGTGTAGCCTGAATCAGTCTATGGCAGATGGTGGAACTGTGTTTCCGCCCCTGGGGCAGCCGGTTCCAGGTGTCCTGCACGCCCCCTCCACATGAAAGCAAACTGCAGCCTGCACTCTTCTGCTAAGGGGATGGAGAAGAACGCATTTACAATATCGATGGTGGTGTACCACTTCGCTGCCTCAGACTCCAGTTCGTACTGGAGCCCCAACATGTCTGGCACAGCGGCACTCAGCAGCGGGGTAACTTCATTCAAGCCACGATAGTCCACAGTCAGTCTCCATCCTCCATCAGACTTATGTACAAGCCAGATGGGGCTATTGAAGGGAGGGGTTCTTACGGACCACCCCTTGGCTCTCCAGCTCTTGGATCATTTTATCGATGTGGATCACAGCGTCTCGGTTCATTCGGTATCGTTGTCTATGTACTATTGTAGTGGCTGTTGACACTTGTTGATCTTTGACTTGTGACTATCCCACAATGGAAGGATCTTCTGAGAGGCCAGGCAGGGTAGATAATTGTTTAAATTTCTCTGTAGCCACTGTGGCTACACCAAAAGCCCATCGATACCCCTTTGGATCTTTGAAGTATCCTCTCCTGAGGTAATCAATACCTAGGATGCAAGGGGCCTCTGGACCAGTCACAATGGGGTGCTTTTCCCATTTTTCCCCTGTTAAACTTACTTCAGCCTCTAGCACTGATAATTCTTGACGTCCCCCTGTCACTCCAGAAATCCAGATGGGCTCTGTGCCTTTATGCCCTGATGTCATCAAAGTGTACTGTGCACTACAGTGCAGTTTTATTGTCAGCTAAAGCTTTATATCTCTGTGGATCTGATGTGCCAGGCCATCAAACCCACCCAGTCTGGTAAACCCTATTGTCCCTTTCCTTCTCCTAGCTGAAGGCAGGGCCCCTCTACTGTTCTTGGTCAGAGTATTCACTGTCTGATCCTTACATTGCCCAGCCAGAGGTTCCTTCATCAGGATCACAGGAATTGATCTCGGTCTTTCTGCATCTCAAAGGTCACTGATCTCTTTCTGGAGCCTCTGCATCAACTGCACGGAGGGCCTTCTTACTAGGTTTCTTCCCTCTTAATTCTCGTACCCAGGCTCCAAGTTTATAGGTATAGTTTATAGCTTCTTCATGTCTTCACCTTGGTCACGCAGAAAGAACCGTAGTTCACCATGTGGCCTGCTCTTGGGAATTCCTTTCCTTCTGAGTGGAACAGGAGGAGACCAAGACCGATTTCTTAGGCTGTCTCTGCAGCAGTTCTCACATTTGGGGCATTTATAAGACCTCTCTGTCCTCTCCCCAGTGTAGGTACGCTGGTGTCGGAGATCGGAGCTTTCTCTGAAGTCTGACTTGCTGGACCGGGAGAGTGAGGAGGCTTCCATACCTTCTGCTGTACTCCGTATCCAGGCACAGATTGTATCCACATTTGATTAATGCATCTTTGGATGATATATTGTTATCAGGCAGTTAACATGTGATGCAGGGGCACCTTGAATTACTTTTCTCCACATGGGTAGCGTGCAAGGGACACTCTCTGGATTTAGGAAGTGGTGATCACCTGGGTCACTGTAAATGTATTCCAGCATGGCCAGTTCCCGCAGGTACTGGATGCCTTCCTCTGCAGTAGTCCACCTTCTTGGAGAGCTCATTAGATCTTCCTTGAATGGGTACCTTTCTCTCACGCTGATGAGGAGCCGAACCCAAAGACTGCTAATAAATCTCTCTCTTCCAATTTCTTGTTCAATTTCACGATCTCTAGCAACAGATCCTAGTTGCTGTGCTTCATGACCTTCTAATAGGTGACTTCTAGCCCCATTGTCCCAGCATCGTAGCAACCAGGTAAGAATTCATTCACCAGGCTGGCGGCTATAATCTCTCCGCAAATCCTGAAGTTCTGATGGGCTCAGGGACTGGGTGACTTCGCTTTCTTGTCTGAGTTCCTCTCTGATTCATCGACCTTCCTGTAGTAAAGAACTAGCCCTTTGCCTTGCCTCCTTTTCTTCTGTTATTAGTTCTGTTAGTCCGTTGCTTTCGTCCTCCCTTACTAATCACCGAGATAGGCATGTAGGTCCTGAAGATATCCTTACCCATGTCTTCCTTTTCACTACAGGGGCAATAATGACTTCAGATGTCGTAGTTTGGGTCCCTGTCTCAGTCATGGTCTTTTTAGAGTACTGAACAGCAACTCAATAGGCACAGGTCAGGCCCCAGTACAGGGCAAGAAGTTGCTGGTTTCAATCAGGGTAGGCAAGGCATCCTTCCATTAAATGACATGTCAGTTTGTTAGGGTTGAATACTTGTTCTGGTGTGAAGTCCCAAGCAACAGGGGGTGTTAGATGCCCTAAGAACCTGCCCAAATTCATCCACATCCCTTGCCACCCAGGAAATGACCCCTTTAGGGAACATCTCAGTAAATTCTCTCTCAAAATTGGTTTTGTCCTAACACAAGGCAACAAAGACAACACTATCTTCCCCACTCCCCATACTGTTTTAAGAGTATTGCTTATAACCAGTAACATAGCCAGACAACTCAGGTAAGGATTAGTAAGGATCATGGGCACCTTCATTACAAGACCCTCTATGTCAAAATTAAGAAGGGGAAAAAAATTGATTTTAACCCCTTGTAGGTCCTTTAAGAGGTAAGTTTCACATCCTGTCAAAACTGTTAGTAAAATTACAGGTATAGCCACTAAAACTGGGCAGATTGCCATATTTTTGTTATATGTTCCCAGGTTAGCAAAACAAACAGATAAGTGAGGCAGTTGTTTATATAAACAATGTTCCTTGGCAGTCTTCCCAAGTTTCGGTACCAATATGTAGTTGTTTACTTTGGCTGAACACCAGATATCTATTGAGGCTGTGCCCAGTCCTCCAGACGGAAGGTGAGGGGGTGGAAAGGGAAAACACTACTACCAAATCAAAGCTGCTAAGAAAGATGGTTTATGTATTTACACAAAGAGGGAAACTGATATAAACACTATACATACAGAGACAAACTAAAAATAAAGATACTTTCCCACAACTGACGCTCTTCTCCTCCCAGAACGAACTGCCCAAACCGCTCTGCTCAGTACCCGGAAGAGAAGAGAGAACTCGCTTCCTTCCCGTCTGTTTATATATCTGGGCTGATGTAACATGGTATGGAATATCTTATTGGCAGAAGACACATCAAATGACCTATCCTATTTCCATTTTCCTTCTCGGGGAGAATAACAAACCCATTACAATTACGTATGCTGAATAATGCCTTGTGATACCACAGTAACTATAGAGATGGAGAAAATTAGGTCTTTAAACTTGAAGGGAAGATATTGCTTGTTTTTTTCTTCTCCGTAAATTTGGCAATTTAGCAGATGTTTGCCCTATCTAGCAAACATGAATCAGACCTACCTGGGCTGAGGAACAGTGAGGATGATCACAAGAAAAGTGTGCTCTTATCTATATATCCCACTCTCTGCAGAGGACTTTGTTAAGCATAAAAAGTGTTGAACCTTGAGCACGCTGTCCAACTGAACAGTGAACTGATTGTGGGATCATGCTTAGTATTCATGTGATTTAAGACAGATGGAAGAATCACCATTCTCCAGGATGGCCTGTAAATTTCCTCTGGCAATGACTCAAGTGGACGTGTCTGAAAGAATGGGCATTTTTCTCACTGAAGAGGCTTTAAGGAAGTCTACCGACATGGTGGTATCAGCAGGCATGTGTTGTGTGGTAGTTTAGTCTAGGCCTTCCTTGGTGACCAGTTTGTAACAAAGGAAGGGCCCAGATTTACCCAGTATTCCCTATGATTTTTACGTAAGCCAGATTATAAGAAGAAAGGAGGAAAGGCCTTAGGTCTCTTTCCTTCCGGCGGCTTGGAGGTGCAGGTTCCCCGCTGTTGAGTCTGTCGGGTTGGGGAGTGAGGCCTGGTAAAGGCCTTGCCGACCTTGGGAGTTGGAGGTTGCTGGTGATCATTCCAGCGTGACTCTCCGTTGTCCCAAGGAGAGTAGTAAGATATTCTTTGCTAATTCTTTTAGTTGCTAGATCTTGGGCTATTGATCAGGATATATACATATTTTGTTTTGGTTTTGTTCCTTTTTTCCCTTTCCCCTTCCCTTTCCCTTTTCCTTGTGAAATTGTATATATATTTCAATTGTATATAACTGTAATGTAAGTATAAATATATTTTGATATATTGGTTTAGCTGTCTCTATCTCACTTCGGTTTTCTTGGCTGTTTTTTTCCCTCTTCTCCCTGAGGTTTTTTTGGGGGGGACACTTCTTGTGGTAAGGTTTGGAGACTTGGCAGGGAGCCAGCTTCAAACCATATCAGTTGTCATTCAGGTCTGTGCCATGCACACTGGACTTCCCTGGGAAAGTCTATCCTCAAGAAGTACATCAGAAACCTATTGATAAAAAGAGCATTGAACTTTCTTATTTTACAAATGATTGATGGTTATTTAATTTCAGTTATACTGTGCCAGATCAACTGGCAGAGAATTTGGTCTGAGAGACTGTTTTACACAAGGCGACTCTTTGCTCTGAAACATTGCAGGAGCCGCTACTGAAAGGTGAAAAGGGCTCTTCTTTCTCATTTTCACTGTGATGAACATCCTACATTTTATATGATCAGATTTGCATGGTACAGAGGTGAAATATGTTATTGTGTTTTTCTTATTATCACTGCCAGAAAGTAAGATGACTCACAAAATCAAACTACTTTTTGTTTGAAGAGTCAGCTGAATATGTGAAGCTGCTCCTTCTAATCTCTTTCCAGATGTTTGATAGACTGCCAGTAATGCACTGGAAGGAATCCTTGGTAATTCACATAAAGGAGTAAAAACCTGTACTTTATTCAGTAGTGTTAGGACTCGTAATGATTAATAATAATGCTTCATAATATTTAAAGTGGCTGACTACATACAGTATGTACTATGTAAGTTACTTCTAGTATCAAAACTGAATTTCATGCCAAAATCTGAAATGTAAAAGTTTATATGTTTTTAAAGTAAGATCATATATTTTAATATGCACCAAATGGGGCACTGGTGTTTTCAACTTTTTCTATGCAGTTTATTTTGTACTTAAATATTCTAGAAATTTATAAGGGCAAGAAGATAAATGATCTTAGTTGTTGATGTTTTTCATAAAAGCAGAACAGCAATCTTTTGCTTGAAGGGATACCGCTAACATTTAAGCCCATTCATAGCCCTAAATGGATGTGAATTTAAGTTGACTGTAAATAAATTTTACCAGAATAATGATCTACAGAGACAACTTTATATTATTCAGTAAATTACTG